TGTCTGCCCGTGGGCACCTGCTCCAGGACCTCCCCAGGCTTTGCATTTGCTGTGGGCGTGGTCGGAAGAGAAACAGCAGCAATGCCAGAAAATCGGCGCACAGGCCTCAGCTTCCCAGCAGCCTCTTGGCAGAACTCAGGGCGGCCTCTCAGGCTGCTGGGTACCTGCCCAGTCCTCGGGCAGGCTCCGCAACTGCCTCCGCTGACAGGCACACTGTGGTTCCTAGGAGTCTAAGGGAATCGTGCTGCAATTAGCCACCCAATTAAGGCAATCAAGGGCCAGCACCTTCTCGTCCACACAGCCAGCGCTGCTTAACGGAACAGAGGCTGCCCCCCTGCCCTCTCTGGCTCCCGTGCCCCTTTGTGGGTCCTGTACCGCGGAGGCACACGGAGGGCAGTGGGAGCAGGGAGTCCTTCCCTGCGAGGCCAGCCTCTCCTGTCTGCCAGTAGATGCATCGTGGCCTCACGCGGTCTCCACCTGTTCCACGCTCCACAATGCCACATCCTCATGCCACACGCCACATCAGCACCTTGGCCACCACCTGAAGGTGTGATCTGAAAAGCTGGGGGGTTTTTTTGAGAGACTTTTTGCTAGAGGGTGCGTGCATTACCAGAGAGACAGAGACAGAAAACAAGAAATCACCCCCAGGGGGTTGGCGACGTCACAATCCCTTCTCCATTCTCCTCTCAGGACTGGGCACACATGCACATGCGCCCGGTGTGAGTTTAAGCCACCGGGTCTGGGATTTGAATTGTAGTTCCTCATGTGGGTGTCCAGCACCTTAACCACCACACCACCTGCTGGCCCCAGTGATCTGAGAAGCTTTGAAGAAGCCCACATTCCCACATGGCTCAGTCATCAGTCCGTCATAAAACCACAGTCTGCCTTCACCATCCCACTTGGAAGCTTCTATATCCCGGCAGCTTTCAGTAAGTGACACGTCACCATCAAACCACTGCGAGAGGGAAGGAGGCCCACAGGCAAGTACGTGAGAAGTGAGACAGGGCAGGCCGCAGGTCCTGAGCTAGGGAGGTCTTGCAGCGTGGTCACTGAGTGAGGGAAGGCCCGGATGTCAGCCAGTCCTTGGCTAGCCTACTTCAGGGACGAGGGCAGGCCTCAGGCAAAGTAGCTCCCTACAGCCAAAGACAATGCCCTGGGAGGAATGCGGCTCTGAGACCTCAGCAGCTGATGCTCCCAGCAACCTGGGGACAGCTGTGTTGCCCTGAGGAGGGCTCCAGGCAGGAGAGCCCGAAGTCCACTGCCTTGCCCCCAGCTTGGCACTCATGCCCACCACCATTCTACCACAAACGGCCCTCCCCTTATGTATAGTGTGTGTGTGTGTGTGTGTGTGTGTGTGTGTGTGTGTGTGTGTGTGTACTTGCCGTTGTAATGCTATCGGGTACGTGCACCCACCAGAGAGAGACAGAGAGAGAAGGGGGGGAAGAACCCTCTGGGGGCAAGGTCATTCTGCAATCCCCTCTTCTCCATTCTCCTCCAGGATTTTGGATACACACCCACACATGCCTGGCGTGTTCTCCAATCCTGTGGGTCACCTCTCCCAGCCCACCTTTAAACTCTCAGTGCAGACCCCCCACAAAAAATTACAAATATGCATATCCCTCCGAAGATGTACCTGTTCCCTATCCCCAGAACCCTTGCCCATTATCTTACATGGTAAAAGGCGTGATTGATAAGGATCTTGGGAAGAAGAGCTTCTTCTGGATGACCCCGGTGGGCCCTGATTGCCATCGCACGAGAGAGAGGCCCGGGGAGACTAGCGGACACCAGGGGACAAGGCAGCGTGAAGACGTGGGCAGAGATGCAGAGCGGAGTGACGCACCACAGCTAAGGCACACCCACTGCTGCAGCTGCCAGAGCCTGGACAGGTGAGGAGGGGATCCTCCCCGGAGCTGTGGGACACCTTAGAGCTTCCGGCCTTCAGAGCTGTGGGAGAGTGCATTCCTTTCCCCAGGCTGTGGTGACTGTTACAGCAGCTCTAGGAAACGGATACATCCTCCTTTAAGGTCTCGCTCAGAACCCACCTTCTCCACGAAGCCTTCCCTCATTTCCTCTCAGGGAAATGGCAGTTCCCTCTTCAGAGCCTCTTGCCTTTTGCATATGCCCCTTTATAAGAGTTCCCATAATCTGGGGGCCAGCAGGTGGCATGGTGGTGGAGGCACTGGATTCTCACACAGCCAACCACAGTTCAAGTCCCAGTCCCAGTGGCTTGAAAGGTATAACAAATAAATAGATAAATACATACATACATGTTTTATTTTTTAAAAAATCAGATTTTCTCTTTTGTAACTTGGTTATAAATGTGGATGCCTGGACTGCAGAAACTCTAAGAGCAGGCAGCAGGCCTCATGTACTTAATTCCTATATTGCTTCCTGTATTTCATTGAAATTGACACGTTTAAGATCTTAGCCTGAGCCAGGCTCTGTTCCCGAGACTGAAGCCCTCAGTTTGGAGCACACGCACCTTACCACGTTTTACTTTATAAGTAACACACCTGTTTAATCATAGCTGTTTATTGAGCATGTGCTCTGTGCTAGACACTGTTTTAGGTCCTGGGGGTACAAAGATACTCCCTAGTCTATCCGGCACCCCCGATAGTCCATGTTCTCACGAGGGTTTCAAAAAATAACAAATATATGTACAGTTATGTGTATTTCATGATGAGATGATAAATGTTATCAAGAATTTCAGAAGCAATAGACAGATACATGTTCAATGTAAAAAAGAAAGAGAGCAGGGAACCAGCAGTTAGCGTAATGGCTATGTCGCTAGACTCCCATGTAGTCGACCGTGGTTCGAGTCCCAGACCTGGTGGCTTAAACTCGCACCTTGCGCATGTGTGTGCGTGCCCAAGATCCTGAGAGGAAAATGGAGGAGAAGGGATTGCGGCGTGACCATCCCCTCAGGGGGGCGATTTCTCGCTTTCTGTCTCTATGTCTCTCTCTGTCTGTCTGGCGAGCACACACCCCCTATAGCAAAAACCTCTCCAAAAAAAAAAAAAAGGAAAGAAAAGAAAAGGAAGAAAGAGAACAGATAAAGGAAAAGGGCACTTTCCACAGGTTCCACCCCATTCTGCTCCCAGAAGTCAACATTGTCAATAAACTACATCACGCCAATCTTTTCTCTGCAGTGGTAGATACCATAAAACCCCATATGGGGAGGGGGCAGCAGGTGGCATAGTGGTTACTTCACTGGGCTCCCACATGGTTGACCGTGGTTCTAGTCCCGGACACAGTGAGATTTTTTTTTTGAAAACCACGCCAGGAGCATGTGTGTGTGTGTGCCCAAATTCCCAGGTGAAGAATAGTGGAGAAGGGACTGTGGCATGGCCATCACTGTTGGGGGATGATTTCTCACTTTCCCTCTCACAGTCTCTCTGTCTCTCTCTCTCTCTCTCTTGCTCTGGTGAGCACACATGCCCTATAGCAAAAACCTCAAAAACAAAAACAACAACCAAAAGCCTATACAGCTATTTTTTGTGGAAACAGAATTGTACTTTATATCCCCACTGTCCTGTGACCTGGCACGGACAGAGCAAATACCCGTTCTCTTGCGTGGGCATTCTACAACTACGATTCTAAGAGCCCCCTGCTGAGCACCAGGGCCACGTGCAAGCTCAGCAGGCCCCACGGCTCCCTTGCCTGTGGCGTGTATTTGGTGAGCTCCCCCGTGCAGAGGAGATGGGGGACAAGTCCCTGTTCACCAGCCATGTGGGGAGTTTGAGGGCACCTCCCCCAGAGCACTGTGACCTCAATGTGCAGACAGTCTTTCTGCCCCAGCCCCAGCGTCCCATCATGCAGGTCTTCCTGGAGAAGCAGAAGGCCTCTTGGTGGGACCCACCAGTGGTGTGGAGTTCAAGGCGGCTGGATCTCACATGGCCGACTGTGTGGTTCAAGTCCTGGACATGGCGGCTTGAAAATCACAGCAGGTGTGTGTGCATGCAGGCTGAAATCCCAAGAGGAGGGGCATGGAGAAGGAATCATGGCATGGCCATCCCCCGGGAAGCGCATTCTCTCTCGCGCTCTCTCTTTCTCTCTTGCTCACTCGCTCTCCAGTGAGCACGCATGCCCTATCATGATTTTGTTTTAATTCCTCGTGGTGTGCAGATTCGGCATTGAGGATCCAGTACCGCTGCAGAGAGACCTTTAACCCGGTCAGTGGTGTCTTTCCCTCCCTCAGCAGACCTCTGCAAGGCAGACTTCCCTGCCTGACCGTGTACCAGACCTGGCCACAGCCCCGTCCAGGGTAGTCCCAGGAATGGAGCAGGGTGGCGTGAAGGCCCAGGAGCCTGGCCCTGCCCCCTGGCTTCTCCCTGTCCTGCAGAGACCTGAGAAAGAAAACGGTGGCTGTGAGGCCTGTGGCTGCCGGGACAGCTGTGCTCGGTGAGCGGGAGCACTTTGTACCCTTCACCAAGCCCAGCCCTGCTCCAGGCCGCGGGAAAGCTTCCCGCCTCCTGTTCTCTCCTCCCCGTGTCCCCACAGCCTCGCTGTGATGGTCGTGTGTGTGTGTGTGTGTGTGTGTGTGTGCGTGCATGTGTGTGCAGACTCTCCGTGTGTCCCCGTTCTTGGGCGCTCTGTAAAATGGGGAGACGAAGGCCTGATTGCTCAGCGAGCAGAAAGCGTTTCTGTCTCCAGGAAGCCTGTGTCTAAATCACGAACAATCGCTGGGTATTTTCCAGCTTTTAAATCTCTTCGAGGAAATTGGAACATGACTGATCCCACCCTCGACCCAATTCCGAAATACGTTTTTGCAGACAGATCACCTTCCTGGTTGTGTCGCCCGACCCCCTTCTAACCACACTGTCTCCTTCCATCGACCACACGCTGCCAACGAGAGCATTGCCGTCCCTTCAGTAATGAAAACGTTCCCACTGCTCTTCCACGGCGGACTCACTTCTACTAGATATTTGGCAGTGGCGTTTTACAAGGAGAAATCCAAGTCGCTTTGAAAGCAGATATGACATTTTTATTGATTTCGGTTCAATTTTTATTTCTTACACATTTCCAGCATTTTTTCCCTTCTTCTTTGCAGGGAGGGGGGCGCTGCAGCAGGAGGGCGGGCTCGAACTGAGCGCTGTTTCTAATTACGGAGCACCCATGAGCCGTTCCAGACGACTGCTCCACGTTCCCACCACCAAGCCCTGCCAGACGGCGCTCTCGCCTACCCAGCGCTGGCGTTCGGGGCTGAAAGACAACTTCCATTATAACCTCCTGTTTTCACTCACTTATAATTGTCCAGAAATTGTCCTTTTGCTCCAAATTGTTCCAAGCTCTGTTTCCACCCCCGGGATGAGATGGCTTGGAAAGTCCGAACAGAGAGCGGTTTAGCCAGTTGGGACTTGGAGAATATCCTTCTTCCGCTAAAAACAGTGTGTATCTCTGGCTGTGGACAGTCCCCAGACAGCTGTCCCGTTATGACACTGGCTAGCTCACGTGGGTGGTCAGCTTACCCCAAGCAAGGAAGTGTCTGTGAACAGGACGGAAACGCAGCATTTCGAGAGAGAAATCAGAAACAAGGGCAGGGCTGACCGACTTGCGTGTTCTGCTGTACGATTTGGCGGGAGAGGGAGGGCTTATGTTATCAGAACAGAGACCCCTCTCTCGCCCGGATGAGGATGAGCCGTCGGTCCGCACTGAGGGTCGTGGGTACAAGGACCTGCTTTAATTGAAGCCATTCCTGATTACGAAGTTAGGTTCGAGGCCAGCAGGTGGCGTGCTGCTCAAAGCTCATGGCTGACTGTGCAGCTGGAGTCCCAGTCCCAGACCCAGGGGAGGGCCAGCATATAGTGGAGTGGCTAAGGCACTAGACTCCCACATGGCTGACAGCGGTTCAAGTCCCAGGTACAGCAGCTTGAAAATCAAGCATGTATGCGTGCGTGCCCAAAATCCCAAAAGGAAAATGGAGAAGGGACTGTGGCATGGCCATCCTCTGGGGTGGGGAGGATTTTCCACTTCCCCTTTCCCTGTCTCTCTCTGGCCAGCACACATGCCCTATGGCAAAAATCTTAAAGAAAAACACACTGGGGACGTGGGTGTGTGTGGGTGTGCACGTGCGCCCCAAATCCCAAGAGGAGAATGGAGGAGAAGGGAACGTGGAGTGGCCACCCCCCCAGGGTGATTTCTCACTTTCCCTCTGGTTGTGAATGAACCATGCAACTGCCTGAGCGTTGGTAACCTCGCCATGAGAAGGAGAATGGGCCGTGGCAGTGCACTGAGGAAACAAGGTCGTGTACACATCCCAGGTGTGGTGTCTGGCACGTGGCAGATCTCCCAAACGTGTCACCTGGGGCGGGGGGACAGTGACAGCAGTAGAGAAGTGCACATGTGTGGCTATGTGTCGCATCTGCCAGTCGGGCCGCATCTTGGTATTTTGCCGTTCAGACCCACTCCCGCGGCTTCTGGTAACCACGCCTCGGTTTCCACTGTCGGAGACCATCCGTCCCGCTCTCAGCCCAGGCGCCTGTGTGGCTGTCCCCAGCACACTCCCACAGGTGTACCTGGGGCCCAGCTCCAAGCAGTCAGAGCTCGCAGCTTGCAGCTCCAGGGCTCCTCCTGGCACAGGTAGGGAAAACCGCCCTTTCATCTAGGCAGGGGTCCCAGGCCTGCTAGGAGATCCGGGTGGTTTCTGGTACCCATCTTTGGTCAAGCTTGCCAAGAATGAGCCTAACCGGAGGAAAGCAGCCCGAGACATTCCAAGAGCCCTTAAGGCAAGCCCAATGCCTAGCCCTGCCATCACATGTTCCTGTGGTGTGAGATAGTTTGTCTCCTTGCAAACCATGTGAGCGAGGAGACAAGGCAGTGGGCCCACAGTGAGGAGCTGTCACGAGATGAAAATGGATGTCCCTAAACGCAGTTGTCAGAAGCAGTTTCTTGGGACCAGCAGTTGGCATAATGGCTACTTCACTGAACTCCCACGTAGTTGACTGCAGTTCGAATCCCGGACCTGGTGGCTTACACTCACGCCGAGTGCGTGTGCGTGTGTGTGCGTGCGTGCGTGCCCAAGATCCCGAGAGGAGAATGGGGAAGAAGGGATTGCGGTGTGGCCATCCCCCTGGGTGGTGATTTCTCGCTTTCTATCTCTCTGTCTCTCTCTGTCTGGCGAGCACATGTGCCCTATAACAAAAACCTCTCCAAAAAAAAAAGCAGTTTTTCTTCAGCAGCTTTCCCCCTGCACCTGAGCAAAGCCATGCCGCACCATGGCAGGGGCAGCAGTGAAATGGAGGGAGCAGAGACAGCCATCCGGAGACATGGGCTTCCGGGCTAAACGGCGCTCTGCCCGCCCGGTGTTTGCTGTAAACCCACCTATTCTCTCCTCTGGGTGCCCACAGCTGCAGAAGGGGGCTTGCTGCGACATCTGCAGGCAGGGCGACAGTGCCTGTTACCACCCTTCCGTGGACACACAAAACCCACCCCTCGGCCAGGTCCTGTGCCCAGTACGGAGGGAACACACGGCCCGGGGCCAAGGAGCAGACCGGAAGGCGGTGAAGAGCCCGAGCAAGGACCCACGGCAGGACAGCTCTGCCAGTGCTCTTTCCTACCAAGCACCACTGGTGTCCTCGTGGGTGGTGTCACAGATGTCATATGAAACTGGATCCTCCCGAAGACGGACGATATCGGGGTCCTTGGGGGAATCAGAAATGAGTGTCATTTGCCATCTGGGAAGATCAGTCTACTGTACACTCATATGCTGTATCGTAAAATAATAACTGAATTTCTTTTCATATGTTAGAAGGAAGAGAAAACAGTTTGAGTTGGGTCTCTGCCATCAACATCAGTCTTCTTTGGACCAGAAGCTCAAGCCTGAAAGCTCCTCAGGGAGGAGGTGACACCTACCCTCCTGGCCAGCACAGCTGCCTTTCCCTGGGGGCTGCCCATCACGTGCCTTTCAGCCGTGGGCGGGGGTGTTTCCTTCCTATTAGAAACCTTTATTTCTTGGGACCAGCAGATGGCGTAACGGTCACATTGCTAGACTCCCATGTAGTCGACTATGGTTCAAGTCCCGGACCCAGCACCGGGCGCATGCGCATGCATGCCCAAAATTCTGAAAGGAGAGTAAAGGAGAAGGGATTGTGGCATGGCCATGCTCCTGGGGGGAGGGAGGATTTCTAGCTTTCTGTCTCTCTGTCTCTCTCTCTATCTCTCCAGCGAGCACACATGCCCTGTAGCAAAAATCTCTCCCTTAAAAAAAGAAAGAAACCTTTATTTTTCTATTAAAGCTTCTCTTAAACACACACACACACCCAGCAATGAGGCAGAGCTCACCAGAACATGCTTAGAAAACACGTACTTCTCTGCCTCTAACTTGCCCTAGTTCTGGATAAGTCTCCTTGCTCTGTGGGTCTCTAGGACTCGGTAGCTAAATCAGACAGATACAAAAGTGGCCATGGGGCAAGCAGGAGGCGAGGGGGTGAAGGAGCTCAACTCCCATACCACTGACCATGGCTTGAGTCTCAGACCTGGTGGCTTACTTTCTCACTTTCTCTCTCTCTGGTGAGTGCATGTGTCCTGTAGCCAATTTTTAAAAATAACAATAATGGGGACCAGCAGTTAGCGTAATGGCTATGTCACTGGACTCCCATGTAGTCGACCACGGTTCGAGTCCCGGACCCGGTGGCTTAAACTCACACCAGCTGCATGTGTGTACGTGCCCAAGATCCTGAGAGGAGAATGGAGGAGAAGGGATTGCAGTGTGGTCATCCCCCCTGGGGGTGATTTCTCGCTTTCTGTCTCTCTGTCTGTCTCTGGCTGGCTGGCAAGCGCACGCACCCTATAGCAAAAACCTCTCAAAAAAAAGAAAAAAATAACAATAAGGATGATAAAATTAAATGAGTAATTAAAAAAGAAGAAGAAGTGGCCTCTGAAGCCCAATATCCCCGAGGATAATTCGGAAGAGATGGACAGAGGACCACGTCTGCTCTCTTGGCGACGGGGGAAGGTGAGAGCTCATGGTCGAGAGTTTGGCTCTAGAATCAGTCGGGCTACGGAGACGTCTAAGTTTGTGTATCTGTGACAGAGGGCGCATGCACACACGTGAAAAGGGAGAGAGGCATCCCAGTGTGGTCTCATCGTGTGGTCCTGCCCTTCTGCCAGCCCTCCAGCTCATCAGGATCTTGGGCACACACGCATGTGTCTGGCATGTTTCGGGTCCACCAGGGATCCGAACCTGTGGCCTCCAGCACACGACTGCCTATGCCACCAAGGCCGGGCTTGCTTTTGTGTGTGTGTGAAGTCTTGCTCTTGCGATCTTTCCGCCTCGGCTTCCCAGAGGGACTCCAGGGTGACCCACCATCCCCAGCTCAAGAGGTGTCACCACGTGGTCTGGACGAGCCTCAAGCTCCACACAGCATGTGCCTGATCCCACAGGGTGGTTCTCTGGCTCTTTCTCTCTCTCTCTCATTGTCTCCATCACTCATAGGAACTGAATGGATGAACTTTTCATTAAAAAAAGAAAGAAAGAAAATGTCAAGAAACACGAGAAGAACGAGCAAAGGGCACACAGTAGACAGTACAGCTCAGTGTGCTCAGAGCGCCGGAGCGGAGCACCGCAGACCGGGTGGCTGAAAACGGAGCTCTCTCCCCCTCCGATCCCGAGGCCGACGTCCAAGCCAGGGCACCAGCAGGCTTGCTGTCTGAGGGGGTCTGCTCCCTCTGTAACGGTGGAGACCTGGCAGCTGCAGACTGGCGTCCCCTTTAGCTAGCTGGGCCAGGGCGGGCAAGGAGGACACTCTCTCCTCCGGCCAGGGTACAATACTCTCTAAGTCTATTTGAGGTTCATTTTCAGACTCTTCTTTTGGCTTTCAATTTTTCAAATCCGGTCCTGCCTAGGCCTCCTGGAAGCCGCTTACCAGCAAGGTGCGTGTGATGCCCTAGGCCGGCAGCAGAGGGCGCCCGAGCGCAGTCACCCCGGCACCCGGGTCGGGTTGCGAGCAGCGGGTTGCCAGCCTGCAGCTGCAGGACCGCGGAGCCTCCTCCAGGGAGCCAGCGGCCGAGCCAGTGCCTCCGCGGTGCGTGGCCAGAGGTGGCTGTGTGCTCCCGCGCTGTCCCGCTGACGGCGCGGAGCTTCCGTGAGAGCTGCTGTTCCCTGGCTGAGAGAGTCTGGGTGTCCCAGGCTCCTTCTTCCCCTAGCGGAGGCTCTTCCCGGTGGACTTCCCTGCCTGCCCTGGGGGAGACGAGGAGGGAGCATGGAGCTCGCTGTGCACCGCCCCGTCTGCTCGAAAGGCCCCGACTTCCCCGCGTGAGGGCCCGTCTTCCTGCCGCTGCAAAGGCGTCGGTGGATATGTCCTGAAGCCTCGCGACCGTTTGGGAGAGGCTTCAACGGAACTCGGCCAGCTTTCAGTTACTGATGTGGCGGGAGACGGCCATGCCTAGAGAGCAGGTTTGGTTTCAGGGAAATTGAAATGGCCTTCAGCTCCAAGTGTACGCAGTGAGGGAGGAAGGCGAGGACCAGCCGGAGTCCGGCGTGTACAAAAACAAAACAAAACAAAAACCCTTAAGCTCAATAAATAAAAAACAATACAGATTTCCAAAATCAATGTAGACAAGTATTTGCATAGCATTTCATCGTATTAAGCATTATGTTATTAGTAACCTAGAGATGGTTCGAAGTCTATGGGAGGAGGTGTATAGGTTTTATGCAACTGCTCCATTTTCTAGAGAGGCTTTTGCTATAGGGCACCTACGCTGGTCAGAGAGACAGAGAGAGACAGGGAGACAGAAAATGAGAACTCAGCCCCCAAGGGGGATGGCCATGCCGCAATCCCTTCTCCTCCATTCTCCTCTCAGTGTCTTGGGTACACGCACATGTGCCTGGCATGACTTTGAAGTCAAGTCCAGGACTCGAACCACAGTCGACTACATGGAAGCCCATAACCTTTACATCATCTGGTGGGCCCACTACTTAGTCACTTTCTGTAAGTCAATGGAACGTCCTCGGACTCTGGCGTCCTCAGAGGTCCTGGAATCGCCTCCTTCGGATGTTGAGGCCAGGTGCCGTGGGTTCTAGGTAGATGAGGGTGGTGCGGGAGTCTGGGTCGCTGGGCATTATCGTAGTTATTATTTCATGAGTTGTTCAGACAGAATCCTGCGATCATTTTTCTCTAAACCAGCTCTAGGGACAAACCTAAGAGGACTAGCCAAAACAACATCGCTGTAGCGAAACTCCTGAAGGAAACATTAGCTACATGTTAACTTGTTCATCCCGATTCTGCGCTGATAAAAAACACCGTTCAGTGTTGATTTTACGTTTGCTCTCATACTTCTCAGTCCCTCGGCCTAGCGCTATTTCTTGGGTACAGAATACGGAAGCTAGCCAAGAACGTATGCCCCAAGGTCTTGGGGTCTGCGAGCCTGCCGCAGAGTCGCTGTGAGATTTGTACTGGCCACCGTGGGGCCCTGGGACAAGCCAGTGCACCCCTCGAGTATTCGATGCTTCCCGTGTAAATGCCCACACCAGCCCCCCATGTCTCCACTCCGAGTGCTGCGGGTCACCCCTGTGGACTACCCCGATCCTGGGCTTTCTCTCTCCTCAGGTACAAGTTCCCCAGAAACAAAGAGCGTGCCTCCACTTCTTGGGTGGCTGCCCACTGTGCCCGTGAGGTGCGACTTGGCAGTGCAGCCCCCTCCCTCACCAGTCTCCCCAAGGCGCGCTCCTGGCCACGGCCCCAGCAGGGAGGCTCCGGGCTCACTCTGAGACCACGCTGTCGCAGTGGGCTGACCCGTCCTGGAACAGGACAGAGGCGCCAACGGCACTTAGCACTTTTTATTCATGTGTATTTATTTATTTATTTATTTCATGAGAAAGAGTCAGAGTAAGAGAGAGACAGAGAGAGACAGAGACAGAAAAAGATGGCACCCCAATGGGGTCTTCACAGCATGATGCACCTCCACCCTCAGCCAGCCTGGGTCATGGGCTTGCACGGGAGGCCTGGAGCTGGACCCAGGACTCTCCCATGTGGATTCATCGACGCATTACCCCTGGGCCACCGTCTGGCCTCCTGAGTCTTTTTTATTTTTTTAAAGTTTTTGGTTTAGGGTACATGCGCTCACCAGGGAGAAAGAGAGAGACAGTGAGAGCAGAAGCCAGAAACCACCCCCAGGGAGGATGGCCATGCCACAATCACTTCTCCCTCATCCTCTCCCTGGGATTCTTGGCACGCACACACACACACCTGGTGTGATTTTCAAGCTGTCGGGTCCAGGACCCGAGCCGCAGTTGGCCACATGAAAGCCCAGCACCTTAACCACGACACCTCCTCCTGGCCCCTCGAAGTCTTTACGGAATGCCAGCTTTGGGCTGGGCAGTCGCTCAGAGTGGCTGTGGACCCGTAGTTGGCCCGGTTCCTGGCTGGTGTCCAGAGACCTCCCTGATACACCAGGCACACCCCTGCCCATTGTCCGGGGCTGGCTGAGCCTGGGGCAGATCGTGGTGTGGGACCTCACTGGGGAGTCTCTCTTGGAAGAGATGAATAAATAAACTTAAAACAAAGAATAGAATAGAATAGAAGAGGCCCCACTGCCCTTTCACACAGGGCTATCCCCACAATCTACACGGGCTTCCTCATGGTCAGCGCTGGTAAGGACGACAGCAGCTTCCTCCCACGAACTGAGAAGACCCACCTTCGAACACAAGAGTTAAGCCCAAACCGCAGGTCAGCTTTGCGATTCCTCGGACAGCACATGGGATGACCCGGGCCAGGCTGCGGAGTAAAATGCTCTGGAAATCTCCACAAACCACGAACAACCAAGTGTTCTCTGCTTCCCAGAAATAGGTACAACGATTACATGCCAATTATAATTATAATGAGAACTTTCTTAACAGTTGTGCCATAGGGTGGGGGCACTTGCCAGAGAGACAGAGACAGAGGGAGGAAACATGAGAAATCACCCCCCCAAGTGCCTTAACCTCCATGCCACCCGTTAGCCCCGTAATAAGGGACGTTTCCCCCAAGATTGTTTCATTACAAGCTCACTTTTCACCAGAAACTGAGTGAATGCCTTTGTCCAGCTTCTGTGCTGGCCGCTGAGCCGCATTCACAGTGGCGCCCGCGATCCTCGCAAGGGCCCTGCAGCGCCGAGGGGGTGAGTCCATCTCACAGGTGAGGTGATGGAGGCTCAGCAAGGCCTAAGCTCATTGTGGCTACCGAAGCCAGGGACTGAACCCAAGCATGCCTGTGCCAAAGCGCATGCTCACAGTGGGTTTTATGCAACTTCTATCTTTAAAAAATTATTTATTTAATTTAATTTATTATTATCATTATTTTCATTTTTTAAATTTGCTTTAGTGCACATGAGCTCACTGAGAGAGAGAGAGAGAGAGAGAAAGCCAGCCGCTAGGTCTGAACTCAAGCCGAGGTCAGCCATGTGGGAGTCCAGTGCCTTAACCACGGTGCCACCCGCTGGCCCCACCACTGTGATCTGTGTCCTGGAAGGTGGGTGTTACCTGACTTGCAAACAAGGAGAGGACAGGAGAGCCGGAGAAATGAAGCACCTCTCCCCCAAGCACACGACGCCACAGTCAGTGTCCCTGGGAAGTCCGCGTGCTGGGATGTGGCCGCATTGCACAAGTATTAAGTTTAGGGACCAGCAGGTCGGGGTGGTTAAGGCGCTGGACGCCTGCATGGCTAAACACGGTTTGAGTCCTAGATCTAGCGGCTTGGAAATCGCAGCAGGTGCATGCGTACCCCAAACCCCAAGAGACTGGAGAAGGGATTGTGGCATGGCCGTCCCCCTGGGGAGTGATTTCTCTCTCTCTCTCTGTCTCTCTGTCTTTCTCTGTCTCTCTCCAGGAGTGCACATGCCCTATGGCAAAAACCTAAAAATGAAAAGAAATTTAATCTATGGTGTGGAAAGGTGGGGCCCTTGGGGGTCATTAGGCACTAGGGTGGGTGCCCGTGGTTGAGTCCTGGTGGGTTTATAAGGAGAGAGGGGGACACAGGTCCGCAGTTTCACCCTCCACCACTAGCGATCAGTGAGGAGACCCTCCCAGCAAGGCCCCTAGCCCCGGCAAGGATCTCAGCCCTGAGCTGAGTCGACCTGGGTTCTCACGGAGGACCCAGACTCGGTGTCCCTGTTACTAGCCACAGGCAGACCCGAACACCGCGCAGGCAGACCGGGGCCAGCTCTGGCTGTGAATCCCAACGGCCTCGCGTGTCAGGGTCAGCGCCCTCCTCTGAGAATCCCCTGGGAAGCCAGGCAGAAGCCTGCTGTTGTCCTCGGTGCACGTCAGCGAGTGGGGAAGGGTGGCGGGGGGCGCCGAGGGGACAAGGACAGCGCGGAGGGAACAAGGGTCATCCTCCCACGGGGCCAGTGGAATGGAGGCTGTGGCAGGCCAGGTG